TTTTTTTTCTTTTTTGCCACGCTGACTTGAAATGATTTGCAAATTTGATTTCGTATTCCGAAAATGATACATCGCCGTATCATACGAATTCCCATTGCTATCTGATAAATTTATCTATTTTTGTTCAAAACATCAGGTTGAGCGAAACGGATAAATAAATAAACACGAGGAAAAGATCAGGCCAAAAGATTTTTTTTTTAATTAAGAAAAAAAGCTTAGTTGATTTTTTTAAACAATCGAATTCGTAAATAACTTTTGATTCGCATGAAGTCTATTCTTCTATAGCGACAGGCTTAAAAAAATCCAATCAATCTAGTTGACCTTTAATCTGGATAAATAAATAAACACAAGGAAAATTTTTTTTTTTAATTAAGAAAAAAAAGCTTAGTTGAATTTTTTTTAACAATCGAAATTTGTAAATAACTTTTGATTCACATGAGGGCACTTCTTTGCAAAGGATCTTTTATTAAATCTATTAAATTTGTGAACAATTTCCCTTTGTATATGTAATTTTTACTCAACGCAACGAATAAAAATATTAATATGACTGGCTAATGTTGATGCTCCGAATGAATATATAGACCTCGCATTTGAATGTAACGTGTAAAGCCAAATCATACACAGAAGGTCATTTCGGCACTACACGTTTCGACCCTCGAATTCGAATACAATGTAAAAAGCAAAATCAATGCACCGTTTTTTTTTGGTCCACAAGTGGGGGATAGCGGGTCTATTTATATGTTTTTGTGGTAATTTATTAGACTTCTCGATCAATGCACCATCTGGTCATTAAATAGTCTATTTTTATTAAAGACTGCATCATCAATCATGTATTCACATGATATGATGCTAAGATGTTTTGCATCCGGTGCTAATTTTGATGCTCTGAACGAATATATCCGAAACTCATTGTTACGTTTCATTTAGAAACTTGCTTTTCTCTGCGGAGAACAGAATGGCATGTAACAAGCAATTTTTCGTACAACATTTTTATATTTATTGATTGCCTCAAGTTTTTCTCTAACAGGATTAATTGATAAGGACGTAAATTGAAAAAAACGAAGATTCATCATCACCAAACTCTAGTGATCGATTTATCGTGACTCAACAATAAAAGAATTTCAGAATTCTTTGAAGATTTAAAAGTAATAAAAATAAACAACAAAATTAAAATATGTACCAAAACCTGTCTTATGTGTTATGTAAAGGTCGTTATAAGCATCAACCACTAAATTATTATTACGTATTACTATTACGCGTAGTTAACTTCAAGGGTCAAAAACATCAATTTAACACAACTCTTATGTATTAAAGACAATTTGATTTTATGAAATGTAATAATAAAAGAATAGTTTTAATTTGTAAGAAGAAGAGGCATTTTTATTTTGAAAGAAAATATACGGAAAAAAATAATTAGTTTAATTAAGTAAATTTTCTAATTCAAATTACAACATTTGTAAACTTCCAATGATAATCATTGAAATATACATACAATGATATAATAACTCTTTATCCATCTCTGGGACACACATTTTTTACCGTTATCATTATCGCTGCTTGTACCAAGTGTTTTACTTGTATCAAGCATTTTTTATTCATGTCAAGTGTTTTCAATTATGTCAAGTGTATGTCAAGCAAGGGCTTTTACTTTAGTCAAATCATTAAAATAGCCTTGGTGAGAAACTACCTTTAGTCAATACCTTAGTTACATCAATGACCAAAGTCAAAGGTTTCGTCATACATCATTAACATTACATGTGATTTGCGCATACTATTTGAATTTACAAGTCTCTATAATTGTAAAATCAGTTAATCTCAAATGACATGCAAATTTTTTAGAAACTGTGCCCGAACACTTTATAAATTTTGGGTTTTCATTCAATGTTTTTATTTGATTTGATGGTTGCATATTAATTAAACAGCCAATGAGAGTATTTTAACCATACCGACCATATCTTTATATACACACATTCCAAATTAGTTAATTTATTGAAACCTCGCATAAGAAATAATATTAATATGTAAAGCCTATATAGCCTAGTTTCTGAAGGAAAAACTTGCAATTGCGCACAACTCATCACATCACAATATCGGTTTAAATTAAGAATCATATCGAATTTTTCCGTAAAAACCGTACGTTTGAAATCACACAACTTGTAATTAAATTTACTTTTCAAATTTTGCACCTCTCTGTAAAAGTGGATGTTGCACGCACTATACGACAAGGACTCCGAAAACCATATAGATAGGTTATTGGCGTGGGTGTGCCAATTCTTATAGTAAAAGATCTAAAAAATTTATTACTATATATTAAAAAACACAAGCAATAGAATATTGGTTAATTAATCAACTATCCAATAATAATAGTTAACGATTCGTTCATTTGTTTCTTTTGTTTCAACTTGTATGCATAATAATAATAAAATTATTATCTAAATACAGCATTAAAGGAAATGAATTTACATGCATAACAATTAGTAAAATTTGTGTTCAATATCAACAACAAACATTATGAAACAAACATTTAATCTTACGCGACTATTGAATGAGAAGGAAATTTAGATTATCCATCCATGATCTAAATTAAAATTGTAAAAGATTTAAAATAAATTTATTCATGCTTAATTAATAATAATAATAATTATTATTATTATTATTATCATTATCGTTATCATTATCAATATTGTAAGTATTCTAACATTTCTTCAATTATAAAAAACTTTGTATTATTTTTTTCATTTTTGTAAAACAAGAAAAAAACAATCATAATAAATTTGCAGGGTAAAAAAAGGAAACCTCAACAATCAAGAAATGGATGTTATAATTATGATAGATGGTAGAAGATAATGAATGAATTAAACACACAAGGATTGAACAGGAATTCTTTGTTTTTTTATAAAATATTCTTTTATCAATTACTATTTACGTACTGTGAATAGTTTTAAGTTTACTTTTACGAATTGATTTTAATTGATGCAGGTGATACATGTTGAGTAAGTAATCATTTTATTATTTATATAATCAATAATCAATAATAATAATAATAATACATGACATCTAGTCAATAATTAATAATATATAATAGCAATTATTTTTAAAAATTCGATTTTTATTTTGCCAAAAAAATATAATGAAATTATTGTGCATAATAGAATTAATAATCAAGCGATTACTTTTTATAGTAATTGGAAATGTCTTAGAGGCAAGGGAGAGAACAAAAATGGATAATTGAATAATTGGAGGGAGAAGGAAGATCACATAATTTGATAATGGATTTAATGGGGTAAATGAATGAACAAAATAGCTAATTAAAACATGCAGAAAATAAATTAATGTAATTAAAATCACAAAAATCAAATTTGAATAATTTTGATGTATGTTTATTAATCACACGCACACACGCACATTATTGTTAAACATCAAGGCGATTCATTTACAAAGCCACAATTATTCACAATTATTAATTATGATTGTAATGTTGTGTAGATTGTGCGTGACTATGATATCCTTTATGTTATTATCGTTATTTCTAGAACTAAAAAATAACGTAATTAAAGACAATTAGATTTTACAAAGTAAGGAAAATAAAAATCCGTATTATTATTAAAAGGGTGGTAATGGTTTACTTACTTTTTTAAGATTATAATTAATTATGCAATGTCATAAATGATCATCAATTTTCTATATATCTATTTTACCAATCAAGTTTTTATCCGAAATTTTGGATTTAAATAAATCAAAATTTTAAATTTTAGAATTAACTTTTAACTTTAAAACAAAACAGGCCACAACAGTTGCTACACACAGACACACACACACATACACAAGAAATAACTTGGTTCAAAACATAATCCATTTATTTTTTTTCATCCCTTTTTTAATTATTTACTGAAAATAGAAACAAAAAACCTTTAGACAAACACATTCGATTATTTGTTACTATTTATTACTATCAAATAATAATAATAACAAATAATAATAATAATAATAAATAGTGGTACTAACTAAAAAATTCATATGTTCTTTGACAATACTAAATTTAAAATATCACGATTAATTGTGATTTGTAATTCATTATCAGCGTCGTTATCGTCATCACTTCTATTACAAAGAAATCGTCATCGTCATCGTCATCTAAGCTTTGGTTTCCTTTTCACAAAAAATCAAGGAGCGTAAAGCAATATAATATTACAATTATTGCTATTGTTGTGCGATTATCATTAATTATTGATTATTGATTTATATTATTATTATTATTGATTATTGATTATTGATTATTGATTATATTAAAGCAAAATAAAAAAAATGTGGCTCTTACTGAAATTAATATGAATGATTGATTCATTTATGATTATGATTTATGATTTATGATTTTTTTCATTTTATGTTATCTAACGTTAAATAAACATGTATAAAGTATATTCGATTATGACGACTTGCAGACAATCATATTTATCCTATAAAAGTATTTTCATTCTGTGAGACAAATTTTTACTTTATAAATTATTAAAGAAAATAAAGTTGATAAATTGAAATCTTATAAAATAAATAATATATTATATAAGAATTCTCGGTTCCTTTATTTTATCTTGGTCATCTTCATGTATATACACACACACACACACACACACACACACACACACACACACACACACACACACATATACGTGCGCAAGTCTCCGAAAAGACCGCACGCGAAATTTATTTTTTTGGTAATTAATTGTTTTTTATTGACACATAATAAACATACATACAATATTAAATATAATTATTACAAATTTATATAAATACGTAAAAAAAAATATTTCTAATTTGTTTTTGTCATCAAAATTTTTTCCTGCCCTTAAAAAAAAAAATCTTAACTTTTTACCACAAAAAAAAATTAAAATAAACGTCAAGTTCTTTCATTCCTCCTTATTCCTTATTTCTCATTTATTCTTTACGACATAAAATACTATGGGAAAGATATCTAAGCGACAACGACAAAAAAACTTAGAACCTCACTTTTGTATGGAAGATGCTGATTCAACAAACGACAAAAACAATAATATTCCATCGCCTCCAGAATCAAACCCTTCTCCAACATCCCCAGCATGTTCGTCAACTCCAAATAATTCCTCTCCTATGACGCTTTCTCCAGAACTTTCTTTGTCGTCTTTAATGATTGAAGATTCTAACAACAACAACGACGACGACGACAACAACAACAACAAGAGCAACAACAGCAACAACAACAACGACGACGACGTTAACTATGATTATAACAACAGCCATAATAGTAATAATGCCAATGCTAATTATTATTATAACAATAGTAATATGAATTCTAATTATTTGTCACCATCTAACATTATGAATCAACGTTTTAATAACAACAATTATGATAATTACCCACCACCACCACCACCACCATCATCATCATCATTACCATCATTTTCTTCTTCTATTGCTCAGCCTCCATTTGCACTTCGACCTCTTATTAATCATCACCCTGCTTCTTCTTACCCTTCTTCTTACCCTTCTTCTTACCCTTTTCCCTACTCTTCTTCTTATCCACCATATCCATCACACCTATATACCACTAGTGTATATCATCCTTACGCTCATCATCACCACCATTCATCAGTATCACAAAGATTCCCTGATCCAGCACTAATTAACCAAGTCATTTCTGAGCTTGATCCAGAAACTCGCAACAAAATCGATAAACAAATAACCTTACCGCTCGAAGAATTGATTCGTCCAACTTTGAAATCTCGTAAGGGCAATATACCTAGACCACAAAATTTATTTGTAATCTATCGAAAAGATTTACAAGCAAAGCTGGTTCTTAAGCACGGGCCGGACGTGGGTTCAAATTTGGCTTTGGTTTCAAAACGTGCATCTAAATCTTGGGAGAGGGAATCTCAAAGTATTCGAGAGATCTTTGAGGTTATAGCCGAATTGGCAAAGAAGGTTCACGAGAGAATTTATCCCGGTTATGTCTATAAACCTAAAAAACGCTTGCTCAAATCTGCTATGAAGAATCTCGATGAATTCATACTTCAAGACGACAAATTTTACGAAAGTAATGGAGATGGTGATGATGTAATTGGTGATAAGGTTAATGCCAAGAATATGATCGTTGATGGAGAGGAGGTTAATGTTAACAATGTCGATGGGGAGAATCTTAATAATGCTAATGATGATAATGAAAAGATTGGTAATGATAAAGATAATACCGGTAGTAAAGATAATGGCAATAACAATGATATTACCGATAATGATTGTTTTACTTATCCTCAACAGCCGCAACAACAACAACAACAACAGCAAAATTATAATAGTTTGTTGCTTTGTAAACCAACAAATCCTTCAAGTTACCCATCATCGTCTCGCGGTGATAATCTTGTTTGTGACTCATATTCAACATCTGATAATTCTCAACAACATCGTTATAATTATCATCAACAATATAATAATGTTAATAACAATAATCAGAATTTATCGACTACAACAACTTTACCTCCACTAAGATCATTCGTTTCAATGTCACGTAATAATAATAATAATAATAATAATAATAATAATAATAATAATAATAATAATAATACTATTAATAACGATTATGATTTACAAATGTGTAGATCTTTTCAAGGTCCTTACTGATTTATTTGTTTCTTCTAACATATTAGTTATATTAATTATATTATAAAATAAAATAAAAGGTTCTCTCTTCCTCTCTCTCTCTCTCTCTCTCTCTCTCTCTCTCTCTCTCTCTCTCTCTCTAGAAAATACATATATGTATATTTTTTAAGAACTTTTTAAGATTTCAAAGTTATATATAGTTTTATAATTCAAGTTTATAATTTTTATTTTACTTATTATTTTTTCTGTAAAATTTTTTTGCATATATTAATTGTATAATGTATATTCTAATTTTATTATTTCTTTTTTGTATAATTAATTTTTTGTTAATAAATAAGATTTAATTCATGAAATCAAATCACTTATCCATTGTTATTATTTAAACAATAATTTACAACCATTAATTATTATTATTTCATTTCATATATATATAATATTGTCTTAAGAAAGTAATGAATGTATTTATTCAGTGACACATAATTTCTAAAATGTAAATGCTTTATTAGAATCAAAAGTTCACACATCTGATATCAGTATGAAGGGAATGGAAGAACGATGTGTTGTTACATAATTGGAATTACATTATTACTGGTACTCGTTCCATTCGACGGAAGGACAGAAAAATTAGCATTCACAACAATACATAATAATGATATTTACTTTATGATACAAGGTTTGTCTGTTTGCCTTTGGGATATAAAGATTTCTTTTTAAATTCTACCCCAGATTTTAGATAAGAAAATCTTAAATAAATAAATATATCATGATTTATTTTAATCATCAAACTTTTGTTTTATACAATACAACATCAATGATATATTTATATATTTATATTTACTTTATGTGTAACATTAATATTCGTGGTAAAAATCAGTTAATAATGAATGAACGAGTGAAAATTAATAACAGATAATAAATATCACGCACGCCAAACATTAAATTCCTTCCCCTCATTTAGTTTTCTTATCCGATGTTGTCTTGTAAACAAACAAACAAATAAACAAACGCTCCAACAACCAACAAAATAATAATAAAGAGGGGATCTCATAAACACTGTCCATCACTTCCATTTTAATATTACATACAATATTTGTCATTTTCTATTGTACAAGGTTATGTAATATAATTAGGAGAAGTGAAGGGAACTCAGAAAAAAAAATTCAGTTTATTATTACTACACATTAGTTTTTGTCAGCATATTAGTAAAATAATATGATAAAAAGTAAAATATGTACATATTAAAAATATTTGGTTTTTTTGATTGTGACGATAATTTGCTTTGTTGGTTGATTGATTGATTGGTTGGTTGGTTGGTTGGTTAGTTGGTTGGTTGGTTGATTTGATTATGTGCATGTGTTTTTTAATATAGACTGATTTCCTATTCCTAAATTCTTGGACGTTAAATATGTTTGTGTATATTAATATTGATAGTGATGTGAGTATATATAATAATGATTTATTCATTAGATAGGAATTCGTAATAAATAAATTATTAAAAGGTTTTTTCATGATGCGAGATTGATCTGATTGATTTAAATATGTTGATGTGCTCGTCGTGCGTGCGTGCGTGCGTATATGTATATGTGCGCGCGCGTGTGAACGTGCGAGAGAGCAAGCGATCGTGTGCGCGTACGTGGACTTTAGGGTTTTCAGGTGAGAGGGAAAGTTGGCGATAGATAAATTAATTAATAATAATAATAATAGAATTAAAAAAAAGGAAAATATAAACAGAAATGGTAATGGTAATAAATCTTGAATCTTCAATTGCATTGATTTTCAAATTGTTCTCTTGGCTGTTAACATTTATTGATTGGTTATTAATTGAATTCTAATTTAATATATAATTTGCCAATTATAATTTTTGTATTATTATTAGCTAGAGCTCTATTGCGAAAACAATACAAAATATAATTCACGTGCAATTTTTGTACAGAAAAGGAAACAAACTTTAAAGTTACACAGACGCAAAATCTTTATTCGGATAGAAATTAAAAAAAAAAAGTCCTTGGGCATAATAACAATATTATATATTGTTTTTGGAACAAATTAATTTGTAACTGGAGGTTTAATCTTTTTTGTTATGTATAAACCAAAGTTAAAGAAATAATAAATAAAAAAGTCATCAGGTTTATAATAAACAAATAAAAAAAAGGAAATGGTGGAATGTGAGAGTGTGTGAGGAGGGAGAAGGATTTAAAGTTTTTAGTTTTATTGTTGCTTAAAGTGGAAATAAATGAAATATTACACAAATAAGTTTACGAATTTGTCTTGATATTAAAAAATGTACAAAATAACTTTTCTTTCTTTTCGCGCACCTCATTCATCCTGATCATCCACTTAATAAATAACAATAAAAATATTCTTTTTATTCGGATTTTTTGTGCAAGTTTATCGTTTTTCTCCAACTTTAATTTTGTGTACACCGCCGCAAGAAAAATATTCAATGGTCCAGATTGTTCTAAATATGCATGTTATTTTAATTTATCGATTAATCAAGAGAAAAGATTTTTAAAATAGTTCCATAGAAATTAATTAATTAATATGTATTATAAGGACTTTCTTTATATGCAAGTAATTGACTATTAAAAGTATTAGTAATAGTAATGGTAGTGGTAGCAGAAGAAAACTATTGTCATTGTTATTATGATTATACATAACAATGTTTTCATTTTCACCTTCTCCATCTCCATCTTCATTCTCATTTTCATTTTTATCTTCATCTTCATCTTCATCTTCAACTTAGCCTTCTTATGAAAACCAGTTCGTCATTGAATCAAATATGGTTTTATGATAATATCGATGCTTTCCTTATAAGAAAATGAACTTACCTAAAAAATAAGATTTAATTGTCATGCGCGCCTATCACATAGCATAAATTATCCATCCAATAGGATTCCGATTATTTAATCACTAAAATTTTCTAATAAAGTTTTTCCTAAGCGACATCATGATGGATGCTGAAGATAGTGTACAACTCCGGATGATGATTTGGCTGTTAGTAGCTCTGCATGTAAGGTAAATTATCATAAAAAAAAAAAAGGATGACTTAAACTTGATTTAACTTTATAATCTTTTTGATCAATATGTATTATATATTATGGATATTTCGTGGTGGAATTTCTTAAATCTTATAAAGAGCATACTGCATATTCACTATATCTAATGAAAGTGCTATCAGCAGAGATCTAATTAAAGGATGATGTACAAAAGGCAAGTTTATAAACTTTTTATAAATGTTTATTATGTGGATTTGTCAAATATACGTAAATATTTATAGAATCGTTATTTCATAATGATAAAAAATTTTCACATGTAAAAAGATCAATGGACAATAAAACTATAGAAAAGTAGACACGGAATTAATAAATTGGTGAATATTGATTTTTATTTATTTAGTTATTAAAAAAATACCATCATTACTGAACTAAATAGATTGTTGATGGCCTTAGTCCCATATAGCATGGATGAGATTGTGCAGGATTTTTGTTACCAATAATTCCAACAATAATTGTCACTTTAAAGCAATTATTGATATTAAATTTAATATTCAGAAGTTACTGATGAACCCATCTTGTGAACTAATCTTCAAAATTGGAGATGAAGTTATTGTCATAAGTAGAGCGAATGCTGGTGTTTATGGTGTAGTTGAACATCAAATCAAGATTACAGAGCAGATCAATACGTAACCTAAAAGACTTGTTGTAGGTGATCATGTCCAGTCTTGATGCTTGACATATTGGCATGAGATGAACCATCATTAATTAGTAGCATCGGTTGTTATTCCAACAATCTTACTAGATCACAGGTTTGCAACTTCAATATTAATTATTTTAACTACAAAATATATTTGACTATTAATTATAAATTACTTTGATTTTGTTTTAAAAAAAATTACATTAGACCATTACATTTTCAAAGGGCCTAAAAAAATTCATTCAATCATCACATTATGGTGGTAGAAGAGAAGGTATGGTAGACCCTGTCTGTAATTGTATAAATTTATAAAGACCCTCTGGTCCGTGAAACAATCACTGTCTTTATAATGGATATTTGGCACTGTGAAAGCTCGAGTTGAATTGGATGATTGTAAATAGTTGGTCAATGTTAAAAGGTAATCCCTATGTATTATCAAGTATTTGTATTATCTCTTCTTTTCTCCCAATATATATTATTAATATATGTTTATAAATAACTGCTTTAGTAAAAATGATAGAGCCATACCATTGTACAAGACAATACTACAAAATATACAAATTATAGCCCGGTTCCTTCTCACCCTCTAGCACAATATCAACCTGGAATCCTACTGGTATTCCATTTCATATTATTAATAGATCTAGAACGCCTGCAGTTCATGGTATGGCAATCGGCAGTCAAAACATCTCATTTTTCTGCTGCCACACCAGCAGCTTTAGTTTGCTACACTCATATGGTATTGTCTTTTGGACAGGAATAATCTTTATTCCTTTGATGTTATTAATAACCGGGTATTTATTCGTTATCGTTATACTCGCTCTTCTGGGTCTTTGGATAACAATTAACAATATTTATTTATCGGAAAAATATTACTATTTAAAAAAGTTCTTGATTTATGCAGAAAGATCAGAAAGAAAGTTATATTTAAAAAATAAGGTACGATTGTAATAGATCAATATTTTTATTACAGCTTCAACGAATCTATCAGGACACATAATTAAATCTATGTTACAACGAATTATAATTAAATTCACGTTTCAGTAATGCAAATTTGATTATAATTCGTCAAACAAAGGTTTGACTGTAGTTTAAATAATGATTTAAATGATGATTTAAATTCTTTGGATGATTATGAATATTGATAGAAGTTTAGATCAAAAATTAAGTATGACAATATACAATGAATGGTTCTTCATTTTTTAGTTGAAAATTATATATATTGGCCAATTGATTTTGCGTTATGTCCGTCCTTATTATCCTCTATTTATTATTTAAAATAAAATGAAAATCAAGAATAACATCGAATGTAATAATAACGATAAAAAACACTTACTGCCTATTCCTTATTTAAAATAAAATGAGTTAATATTTTTTCAAAAACAAAATTTTTGCAACATTAAAAATAATTAAATAAATATTTTGAATAAATTCTTTAAAAACAATGCTGTTTAAATTGACCACTGCAATCATTAACACCAAAGGAACAAAATTAATTATTTCTTAATAAAAGCTATTTGTTTATTTATTGTTGTTTTTTGATTTTAGTATTAATGCACAGTTTCTATTCATAATACAAGTTTTGTTTTATATGCTTTATATGCTTTTATTTGAATTATTATTCATTTTATTCGTTTTATTCATTTTATTTGCTTTTATTCGTTTTATTCGTTTTATTTCGTTTTATTCAAATAAACATTTTGAATAGAAAACCCTAACTGCTACTCAAGATATGATATTATTTTAGTACAAAGAGCTTTAGAAATATTTAACCAATAACTTAATTACAATATAAAGGGCTATTGGTTTATTAAACTAAGCCAATAATTAACTAAAAAAAGAATTAATTTTAAAAGAATATTTGGCATTTTCAATATTTACTAATAGGCTTTTAGACTATATGATAAAAATATTATTAACTTATCAGTATACTAATACCTTGATTATTTTTTTAAAGAATAATCAGATTCTGATATTTGCTGATACCCATTATCAAATTTGGCATCATTTGACCAGTAAAAAGAGAACTAATAGATTATATATAAGCAAAGAAAGATGGGACCACAAAAGAATTTTAAATCATGCACAAACATAACAGCTTGATAGCTTGATGGACATAGTGGTGCAGTCTTGGATTCCGTGCAATTTTTTTATTGTATAATTAATCATATGTTTTTAACAAAATAAACATGACTTAGCTATTTAATCATTTCCTTGTATGTGAATGCCTCCATCCATCGAATCTTCATGGTGGTCATGATTATTATGTGATACATTTGATATCATCATTGACATAACAAACAATTGTGTCATCCAGGTAGTAATGACACCAAGGCCATGCATAAACAAAACTCTTAACAATGCGTGTCTACCCAGATCTCTGGGGTTCACAAAATAAACTACTTTTCCTGATTATCAATTATGGTTGCTCATGAATAATAAATCTGATGTTGATTGCATGTGTCAGATTTAATTAAAACTTTCCTATCACAGACATGCAATTGCAATGCAATTAAGCACAATTCAGCACCATGGAATGTTTTCCACAGGTGAAGGAGGGTTGAACATGTTGGAAGGCTTTGGACAAAACTTTCCTATCTTCCCCTCAGACCAGGCTTGGCTGTCACCATATGGGCATTGATCACTGATAGCTGGCATTTGTGTGATGATTGCTGCGTGTTATTGACACACTAGCATAAAAGTTGGCATCTGCAACTGGTTCAAAATTCTGCAACTCAGAAGGTTGCAACCTGGATTGCTGTTTTGGATTTTCCCTGAATTCAGAGTTTGAGTCCTGGGTTGCTGTAATTTTTATGAAAAGAAAAGTATTAATTTAAATGTTTATTATGTTGAAAAAAAATATACATTAATAGTGTTACCGGAATTAGATTTTGACGCAGATCTTTTGGTCGAATCTCTTAATTCGGGACAATTTAATTTTATTTCTATTTCTATTTTTATATATTAATATATTTAATATTAATTTTATTTATCAATAATGTGTATAATTATTTATTATCATCTGAATTCGTGTTACGTTTCGCGTATTTAATTATTATTAATCAATCCGTAGCACATTCATATTTATTTAACTTTATTTAGTAGAGATTAATGACGATTCTCCCAGAACGGGTGGAATCGCTCAAAACGTGCGGATTCGCCCAGGTACAAAGTGAGCGAATTCGTGCAATCTGAGCGAAAACGCACAATTTGAGCGGATTCGCGCAATTCGGACTAATATGTAAAGAACATGTATATAAAGAACTTGATTTCGACCTAATGTAAAAGCAACTTAATTAGCTTCGACTAAATAAAACTAAATAAATAAAATATTTCTATTTTATTTAAAACTTTTATCTTCTTTAACCAAAATTATTCGCTAATACCAAAATCAATTCATTGATCCCTATTCATTCTGATCCACACAAAACAAAAATAATTGTTATCGCCAATTAAAATGCACTCTCCCAAATTTAATCGGTGACAATAGTGTACATTTTTTGTGCTTAACATCCATGTGACCCTAAGTCTGGACAAAAGATCCCTTTCTATGAGTTTGGCTGGTATGTCTCAAAGGCGTCTCTTGTCTTGTCAGTGGCATGCCTACTCACTAACAACCCTACCCCATTTAAATAACAAATTCAGTTGGTCAAATAAAAATTAAAGAGATGCAGAAAATTTGGGGAAAGATTAATTTATAACATACCAAACAAAATCCGAACCATTTTATTTTACAGCTTTCTCCTTGATGCCAGTGATCATGGTGACTATCACAATAGGAGTGGGCAGAATTAAATTGCCATCTTTATACTTGTAAGATACACGCTACACTCCTTTAACCTAGGGTGGGAGGTTATATGGGCAAAAGTTCCCATTTAAAAAAAACAACAAATCCAGTTGACAAATAAAAATTAAAGAGAAATAGAGGATTTGGGAATGATTAATTTATAACATACCAAAATCTGAACCACTTTATGACTTTTTTCTTGTTGGCCACATTGCTGACAAAGATGTAGATAATCATGTGATAATTTTAACCTACAGGACAGGGGACTGATTGGGCAAAACCCTAAATTATGTGCGGATTTTTTTAGTATATTTATCATATATTTCAACACATTGTAAATGTTGACAACAAAATTCAACCAACAATATATTTTTTGAAATCATGAATTATAAAAAGAAATTTCTATTAATTTATGTAAATTTTTATGGTAAAATTTAATAATAAATCGAATAACTTTAAACCATGTTAACTTTTTTTTTTCATAATAAAATCAAACAAATTTTTTTAATAGTTTTATTGCTTAAGTCTTCTATAATAAATCTATAGAGAGTTTTTTCCCCTATCTCATGCGATGATAAAGTTTTTCTATTAGCAATCTTTTTCAATTTCTTTAGAACATATAAAAATTTTTTTTTTTTATTTGGAAAGAAAAAAAACTTAAAAGCTTGATATATTTTATATAATTTCCCTTGGTTTCATGTTTGTATCTTTTTACGTGGGGTGGCTGAAAAGTAATGAGAAAATAGCTTTATTTCAAAAACTTTATTACAACTTTTAAAAAATTTTATTTCAT